GGGGGGTCCCGGGATGAGCAGCTGTAACCCAGAGTCGTCCCCTTGGTGGGGGCCTTAATGCTCCCTACAGTTAATGGTTCCTTTGTGTACATTGGCGTGAGCGCACTTTCCTCCTCGTTCCCATGTAACGCTGATGGACTTGAACGCTCCTTAAAAGACTTCCTTTGTGCCAAACAAATGCCCTCGAATGTACATATGGGACCAGCACTTGTGTAAAATGACTAATAATATTAAAGCAGATATATTTTAACATGTGTGCAATTCGCCATGTTTAAAGAGAAATCCCATGATGCCGAATATAATTAGGGATGGAAACCGACTAGGTGAAGATGTAGCCCAAACACTGACAAATTAAAATTTCTAATTAAAAAAAACAGCAGGTGGATGCTCTCCCTTTATCCAGGAACACACACTTAAACTGGAGCCCCGAGAAAGGAGCATTGTTAAAAGCAGTACATTCAGGCTACTTAACACACCGCCCACCATAACTTCCACAGGTCACAACTCCCTGCTCTTTAAGCATCAATTAAATAGCTGAATTTTAAGATTGCTCACGAATCGCAGCCGCCGCACACCAAGGTCCGTAACAGTTACCAGGTGTTTTATTACAGCCCCTTGAATCCGATTAATGGGCGGGATGTTAATGAATAAACGCACGGACACCTGTGCCGGAGCCGGCCCGACTCCTGCTCCACGTCGCCATCCCATAAATCAAAAGGACGAGCGCAAATCGTAGCGGCCACGATCCCCCCTTTACCCACTGGAAGATCCGCTGGATGTCAAACTGCTGTTGGTTAATTACGGGCGCAGCGCTCCCCCAAAACAGCACAGCGCAGTTGCCACCAGCTTCCAGTTGGCCGACAGTGGTGCTTCACTGGCGCAAAAAGACACCATGAGTGGATATGAATACAAACAGTGCGACACAGGCCCGAAAAGTAAAATGACTCCTTCGAGCGTTCTGCCATTTAAACAGGTGAGATTGTCCCTTTCCCAGGTGTCCCTGTGGGTCTCCACCGTTTGACACCAAGCTGTGACAGGTGGAGTCTCCCAGCAGGGGGGGCCTGTTTCTCTGACTCATCTCAGCAATGCTGGGGGAGGACTTGTCGATTTTACTCAAATGAATTTTGTTTTGCCTGGGAATATTTTTCATGGATCTGTGCCCCCCAACTGGAACCCATCCCTCTTAAGGGGCAGCTGGGGTCCTATGGGGAGCAACTGTGGTCACAGGCGGGGGTCTGGTCTGTCTGGCTCTGGAGGCGCGGAGATTCTCCAGCAGATCATAATCGGCGTTTAGCGGCTGCGCTAATTTGCGAGCTCGGTCTCTTCCCAATACATGTATTATTCGCTAAAATTCATATGACCGGGCTTCATGGCCAGCTGACTGTCATGCCTGAGCTGTGGTGTCTTTCTGGACCCGTGTCACCGAGGGTGACGCCCGCAGACAGCAAGTCGTTATTGGCATGTAGTGAATGTGTGCTGTCAGGGTCCAGGTTTGACAGTATCGCTCCAGCAGGTCCGGACCGCACGGCACCACCTGTTCTCCGGATCTCGCTCTGCGTACAGCGGGAACTTAATTTCTGTGTCATGGAGTGTGAAACCCTGGGGACGCAGACTGGGGACTCGTGTCAATCAGGGCAAAGAGCCCAGGGTAGCAGACCTTTAAAGATCCCATCATGTCGGTGCTGCTCAGAACTGAATTATGTCGCGTCTAAGTGAGACGGGGAGTGTCACGGCCATGCAGAGCTATAGAAACTCCGGTGTGTCGGCTCTAGGCCTGGACAGCCGGAGAGCGATGACACTGGGAGACAGACTGATCCTTAGCCACTAGGGGCCTCGCCGTGATTGATTATCACGCAGCATTTCAGCTACAGATCTGTGCTTCCACTGCACGATGAAACCCTGAAGAAAATGCATTACAACAACGCTTTGGAATAACATGCACGCACTAAAGTGACCGGTGGGGGAGGGTGTGGCTGGATGAGAAAGATGGAGGGGGGTGAGTGGGTGGGTTTTTTGGTGTTTGGTCAGGGTGTGTACTGTGTACAGAGACACACCCTTGATTTATGTTACACCCCTAGCCTGGGTACTTTTTCAGCCTGGTGGCGTTGGATGTCAAAAATGCGACGTCTCTCGGGCTGTGCTGCTACCCAAATGCGATCCCCAAAGAACTGCGATGACAAAGTGGATCTGGGACTAGCTGTTGCTGGCAGGTGTTTAGGGATGGTACAAGGAGATGATCAAACAGACCTTGGGGGACCCTGATCCCAGAATGACTACCAACCCAACAGCGCCCCTCCCAGGGCAGGACAGCCCCTCTGCACAATTACCCAGAGCAAGGCTTCTGAAGCCTAATAACCCAGCAGGGCCATGAGTTTAACCTCTGACTCCTCACGCCCTCTGTTTAGTGAAAGTAACAAGACGGCCTTTATTTGACGGAGACGGACTGGATTTCACACTCAGGAACTCACAGAAAACAAAAAAAGACACTCATTCAATTTCATGTCTACTGAGACAGATGTGACTTGCATTAGAGGAAAATGAACAATTTTTTAGAAATTAAAATATACATTTAACACAAAATAATGTGATAAGACAAATGCATTCTCTTAAAAAAAGATGCAAACAAATCCTTAGTATTTTTATATTGTGTACAATGCCTCAAAATATTCAATGCATTAAAAGTGCATTAAATGCATCTTCGTGCAATAGCTGTGACTGCAATACAGCTGGGAGTTGAACTACGCTACAATCTCTCCCAAGTTCCTCGTGTCTGGATTCTTTCCCCACCCTTGGACTAGGCTGCTACTTGCTGCCACTGTGTGATGTTATGCAGTAGTACAGTACCTATTGTAAGGGGAGGGGGGCGTTATCGCGAGACTGGACCATTAACAACCTGCTCGCCTCGCGCACCACAGGGCGCTGCTTCGCTGCCAGGGACGAGCCGAGACGCGAGAAAGCGACCGCGAGACGCCAACATCTGGACGGGACATCATGGAGGGAGCGAAGCCCGTCTAAGCGCACGGAGCGCCTCGGCAAACTCCTCGGCTCGCCATACTCTGTGTGAGTACGCGCTACACCGCTCTCTTTTCTTTAAGCCGTAACCGAAACTTAGATTATCTTACCCCTCGCTGTCCAGCACTGGGTCGGGCAGCGGCAGCTGCGGAGCAGTATGCGGTCGCACGCTTTCCAGCGAACTGTAGTTTATTACTCTGTAGCCCTGTTTTATAGCGTCTTTCCAGCTTACCCAGTAAGTCGTAATTTATATTACTCGAGCCGTAAACTTACAGTTAGAGGAAATACCGAAAGTAAAAGTGGCCGATCGCGACAAGAATAATTTCAAGCGTCAAGAAAAAGACATGAAACCTGGAGGGAGGGGGGGGGGGAATAAATAAAGAAAAACTTTGCGTGTCCTGTAATTTGTTTAACAAAGTGCACCGCCTCGCTGTGTCAGACCTGGTCGCTGGCCGGGCGGCGGAGGACAAACACGGCGTGTGTGCATGTAAAAGCCCAGCCGACTTTGGACGTAGTTGATGCAAGTGGCGATCGCTTCTGCGAGGAACTGGGGGCTCCGCAAAATGCCACTTTGCGTTGTCTTCGATGCCTATAAAAGGTCCTGCAGTAACTTTAAAGGAAGCAGGCTGCGGGCTCGCTGGCAGCTCGATTTGGACTAACATATGGCAGTAAGAGAAGCACAGCTGGAGGTAGCGTTTCCATTGCGGTGATGTCAGAGCAGCTGACTCCACAGCTTGCGGTGTAATTAGCAAACAGAGCACTCCAGTTTAGTCCCCTTTGCTTTTCTCCTTAACCTCGCTGCTTGGACTAGTGCTGGTATTCGGGAGCCCTGGGTATAGTGTGTGTGTCCCGACGCGTTTAATGTGCGCTGGAACACGGAGGTCCAGATAAACGCACCCAGCCTGAATCCGATCGCTTCATGAGAGTGTGCCTGTGTGAGTCTGCGTGTGTGTGTGTGTTTCTGTGTGTGAGTGGGTCTGTGTGCGTGTGTCTTTGCTCTGATCGCTAGGGTTCCGATGGGAAGCGCTAAAAGTAGCGATCACCGTTTCGCACTGATGTTACTCAGAGCGGACAAAGGTAAGTTTCGTCTCTGAATCAATCTGATGTTTTTTTTTTTTCTTTTTTTTTTAATCATCACAAAGTTCCCACAGCCCGGCGTATGCCGGTTTCCAAAAGGCGAGACCTCCTCGGTGTTTTTTTATTTAGGCGGCGCTCAGAATATTGTTGTTCAGCAAGTGCACAGTTTATCATCATCGCCGAAAGGCGGATTGTCGGCGTTCCGACGATGTTCTGCGCTTTATTTAGATACCGAAGAACTTTATTTCCGAGACTTATCAACGCACTTTGCAATCGGCGACCTTTTATCGCGCATAAATTTACTTTTGAAACATTGAATCATTAGGTTTTCTGAAAATAATTTATGGCTAACTCAAGAAATGTTTTTATTGGCGAAAACATTTCGAATCGTTGTTTCTCTTTCAGGGAAAAAAAAATGACCTGTTTAAATTGGGCCGTCGGATTACTTTTGTATGTTGCTCGCATTCGCTGTGGGCGAGTGCTGCTGTTAGTAACTGGCTGAGCGGTCGCGATCGGTTTGTTTAATATCCAGTTTTTCCTGTTTCTCGTCAGGTTATGAAGGAAGAATGGAGTTCCCAGACCATAGCCGCCAGTTGCTGCAGCGCCTGAGTCAGCAGCGTCACCAAGGCTTCCTCTGCGACTGCACGGTGTTGGTCGGAGAGGCGCGATTCAGGGCACACAGAGCCGTACTGGCCTCCTGCAGCATGTACTTCCACCTCTTCTACAGGGACCAGCTAGACAAAAGGGACGTTGTGCATCTGAACAGTGACATTGTGACTGCCCCGGCTTTCAGCCTGCTCCTTGAATTTATGTATGAAGGGAAGCTTGAGTTCAGCACGTTGCCAGTGGAGGACGTGCTGGCTGCCGCCAGCTACCTACACATGTACGACATCGTCAAAGTGTGCAAAGGCAAGCTGAAGGATAAGGAACTGAGCTTGCCGGACGCCAGGGCTGCCGAGGGGGTGGGGCCGGGCTGCCCAGACGGCGAGGGTTTCTCGGACGGCGAGAGGGACAGCCCCCCCGGCCGACGGGCCCGGCCGCATCGGCCGAGGCCCCCCCGCGTGGACGAAGGCGAGGCGGACGCCGGCGAACTCGGGCTGCCTGTCAGCGACCGTGATCGCTGCTTGCAGGGCAGGCAGAAGGCGAACGGTCACCCCGCCGGGTCTCCGGACCTTGTAGGTGTCAATTATGTGTCGGTGGAGGCCGAGTCCCGCTTCCGAACAGCTGGAAAAACAAAAGCGGAGCGCGGCGTTCCGGCCGAGTCACTGTCCCAGAGGCCCGGTGCTTCAGATGACACAGACTGCGCCCTGGACTTGTCTTTCAAGCCTCTGTCGGGCAGAGATTGTTCGCGCCCCCCCCACGTCTTGGGACAGCTGGCCCTCGACAGCCAGCAGCAGGGCACCGAGCCACTTGTTAAAGACGAACAAGACCTGCTGTCAGAGCGGGAGGACAGTGAGCCGGCGAGCCCGGGGAGCCAGCGCTTTGGGAATTGCGCCAGGAGCTCCGCGGTGACAGGGTTCGCTGGCCTCTTCTCGGGCAACAGCGGCCCCGGCGCGGCCCTGCTCCCCCAGGAGGAGGAGGACCTGATGGAGCAGGAGGGGGGCCTGGAGGCGGGGGCGGGGGGAAGGAGGGGGGCGGAGGGGGCGGGCGAGCGGGCGCTGCTCGGGGACAGTGAGGAGGAGGACGACGACCTGGCCTCTTCGGACATCTCCACGTCCAGCGGGGCGCTGCTGCCCGCCGGGCCGGCCGTGTGCGCGTGCCCGCTGTGCGGCAAGGCCTTCCCCAGCCCGCACGTGCTCCAGCTGCACCTGAGCGCCCACTTCCGCGAGAAGGACGGCGCCCGCGCCAAGCTGTCGCCCGACGGCTCCGTGCCCACCTGCTCCCAGTGCGGCAAGACCTTCTCCTGCATGTACACGCTGAAGCGGCACGAGCGCACGCACTCCGGCGAGAAGCCCTACACCTGCGCCCAGTGTGGCAAGAGCTTCCAGTACTCGCACAACCTGAGCCGGCACGCCGTGGTGCACACTCGCGAAAAGCCACACGCTTGCAAGTGGTGCGAGCGCCGCTTCACGCAGTCTGGGGACCTCTACCGCCACATCCGCAAGTTCCACTGCGGCCTGGTCAAGACACTCGCCATCGGCTAAGGCCCCCGGCAGTGGCCCGCAGTGGGCTGTCTTCCAAATGCCTGATGGAGCCTGTTGTAATTAATAACCGTGCAGAAACTCACAGAGTGGGCATGCACTTCCTTAAGCGTTTTTGTTAAAATGTGATCCAGGTAGTAAAACTTTTTTTTTTCTTTTTTTGAGCACGCGGGGTGGGGGGAGGACCTAAAAGCATTTCAGCTACTATTGGGTGGAATTATGGGATGTCGTTCTTGCTGGTGGGCACTGGGCTGGGGGCATGCAGTCCTCGTGATGCAGAAGTCCTGAACCCTCACCTGTCTGTCAGAAGCACAAAATCTGAGTTGGAGGCTGGGTGACCCTGACCCCCCCCCCCCCCCCCCCCCCACCCCGAGCACCCGACGCTCAGAAAAGGAGCAGAAAGTCGTTTAGCTGTAGTTCTGGGCTGTAAGCACCGTGAGAGTCGGCGCAGACGATGAGATCGCCCACCGTCGCAAGGCTGGTTTGCATACTAATAATTCAGGAAGCAGTAAAGCTCACTCGTGCCACAGGGCCAGGCATGCGAGCGGGCACCTCATAACTGGAAGATTCAGCCCTTTAAGAGTGTACTGGGTCAGTAGGAGATAAATACTGAATAAAGTGTTTCAACCATGTGAAATGGGGTAAAGGAACCAGAGTCCACAGGGAGACGGGCCACTAGGAGTGGGGTATACCCTGCCAAGTCAGTGCCTGCTTATGTACACCGAGCAGCATGTGGGGTATATCACAGGCTATATAACTGAATCCAGTGTGAGGATTTTAGGGTGAGGGTGGGGGAGGGGCAGTTGGTGTTGTGAAGTTTGCCTCCCGAACCAGACTGCATAGGAGCGCACTGACCAGGGTGGTCAAGCAGAGAGGGGGGGTCCGGTGTGTGCCCCCCCCAGACACTCTGCCATCCCCACTGGGTGACTACTGATCCTTCCTGCCATCATTGCGTGTCTGTCTGCCCCCCCGCCCCCCCTCTGCAGTTTAGCCTCATGACCACTTTGGAGTCACGTTCAGTCAGAACACTGCTGTGCTCCTGTGGTGGTGTGTGTGCGTGTGAGTGTGTGTGTGTGTGTTTGTGTGTGTTTGTGTTTGTATAACATCCTGTTAAAAAAAAAAAAAAATGCTGAACTACTGAGTAAAGCTTACCCCACAAAATATTTGCAATTTTCGTAGGTTAACTAAACCTCCTCATTTTCTCACTTTATTCATTATTTCTGATGATATGTACACATCTTACTTTGGTTGGATTTAGCACTAAAAAAAATCTAAGTTATTTCTTTTGTTTTGTTAAAATCTTTCCTGAGGAAACTTGATTAGAATTATTTATTAGTTTTATAGTTCAGGGTTTTACTGGGGTCTGATTTTGAGTATTACTGCTGTTGCTGTTTTTTTTCCATCCACAATATTCAAGCACAATAGAATGAAATTCATCGATGCTGTCTGTCAGTGACACTGGAGAGCGATGCTTTGCTCGTGCTCCGAGTAAAATCCCACATCCAGCTTCCTTTTTTATTTGATGACCTTAACGTTTTGATGGATAACTGATGTCCTACTCTGTAGGTGCTGTTTCATTAGCGAATGGGGCAGAGAAATCACTAGTCCTTGTAAATACCTTTACTGTAATGTGAATTGATTCTCCGTGTGTCTTACGGCGGCATAAGAATATACTTAAATGACATTCAACATTTACTACACAAAAAAAGCACTTGTCTTGGGCTTGCATAGTGTCGTTCCTGTCAGCTTGGTTTCAACACTCGAATAATGTGTGCGCTGCTATTTCTAACGAGTTGTATATTTAATGTATATACTTCCTTTATTTATAAAACAATTTAGGCTCTCCCCGACCCCATATGTCTCCGGGCTGGGTGTTTGGCAGCCATCTCTGTAAGCTAACCTGTTAGTTTTGCCTGTTTTTCTTTGAAACATCTGTTATCTGTAGGACAGGTACAAGTGCAAACACTTAAGTGCAGTGCTCTGTGTCTTTTTTTTTTTTTTTTTTTGTGAGTGCAGATTTTCTCACTACTTTAATGTGGGAGATGTATTTATTAAAAAGGCAACTGAAGGACTGTACTGAAGAATTGGACATCGGCGGGGACTCGCCCCCCCTGATAATTAGCCTGATATGTGCTTAATACTGTTGTCAATTTGGGATGCGATAGCACAACCACGGTGTTTTAAGTTGCACTTTATCGCGACAAGTCATTACATCCTGGATATCCTGGTTTTCAATGTGATTCCCCGTCCCCCCCCCGGTCCCCCGCATGTGGACAGTAGGAGGGAGTTGTAGTGCGGACTGTAAAATGAGCACCCCCCCCCCCCCACGCCCTCCACGCTGAAGTGCGAGGGACAGGCGTCGACAGGCCGTGGATTTGTGGTGCTTTGCAGCGCCCCCCCCCTCCCGCCTGTCGTGCCACCCAGCTCTCTACATGGGGAGAGAGCGACCAACTTAGTGGTTTCAGGTTAAATGTTCCTGTTTGTTCTATAGCTTCAAACAGACGGCAGCATTTCCTGTGGTTATTTTATATATAGATTTTATTTTATTTTTTTCTGTACAAGGAAGGAGATGCTTTTGTTTTATACTTATCGTTCCATGATAAAATATGGCTAGAACTGGCATTTTTACTAATAGGGGGATTCATGGTTTAAAAGGCCTTTCCAGTTTGTCATACACTTCTGTTGATATGGTCACGGTCCTTTTACACAGTACGTGCCTTGTGGACAGAGACGGACCCGGAGCGGGACGTTACCGTGGTCCGTGTGAGCTGGCTTGCTGGGACATCAAATCTACACGACGTGCAAATAAACAGCTGCAGTTTTACGAACTGGGACGGGGGATAGAAATAGGGTTAGAGAGTCAAGGATGAAAAACACAGATAATCAAGAAGCCTCCCGGGAGAAGAGAGTGAAATCGGAGCGAAGGAGCAGAGACTGAAACAAACACACTCACTTATCTGGAATAGGTTTGCTTTATAAACTCTTACTGAAGTATTTTAACATTTAAATAATGAGAAAAAAATGAAATGTTTTGTTTATTAAAACTGGAATATTGTCTTTGCAGTTAAGGTCCAGACTGTGAAATTGTGTATAATCTTGAGAAATATTTATTGTTTTTTGTGCGTTTTACTGTTATCTCACAGATTTTATGTGTAAAATGACTACTTAATGTCAGTAGGGGAGGGAGGGGTGGGGAGGAGGGGTAATAGAATTTGTAGGAGTGCCATTAGAATTTAATATAATTTTTTTATAACAAAAGTCTATTTTCTAGAAAATAAATGCTTCAGTGTTAGTGATTCATAGATTACATAGGACAATCGGTGTGCAGAAATGGCTTTGTTTAGGTGTTCAGCTGCTTGTTTTATGATTTTGGGGGGGGTGGGGGGTGTTTGTGCTTTTTGGAGTGTGTTTGTGTGTGTGCTGTGGAAATGTGACAATCCTGATGTCCTCATTCTTAAGTCACGCGTAGATTAAACAGCTTTTCTGTGACTCTTCTGTGTGTCGCCTCCGCATTCGTAGCTGGGAGTCGAGAGCGTTGAGGAGCCGTGCATCAGCACCAGACTGGGAGTCGATCCTCGTCGTTCTCTGCGACTCTGCATCACAGCTGCTGTATGACCTGTCACTATAATAACAGTAATTAGTATTATCACTAACCTGCTTCAGAAGAAAGTTCATGGAGGACATGAGCTGGTGTGCATGAAGTGTCTGAAGTACATGCCCTCTATGCGTTCTCAAGGAAAGCTACAGTCTTTTTTTTTTTTTTTAAATTCCTGCAGCAGTTGCGTGGTGACTGTCCCATACTTGTTCTAACAGTGTGTACAGACAACAGAAAAGGCCGTATTATGGGTGCGTCTGCTTGCGTCCTCCTGTGCAGGCTTGACACCACGAAGGTCACAGAGCTGCTCGCCGTCAACGCAAGTTTTTTTTTCTCCCCCAGAGCCAACGACGATACGATGATGTAATTTTCCACAAACTGCCCGAGTCGAGTGATGACGACAAACCCCCTACCCGCCCCACCGGTGTCCGTGCGGGCCCAGGCCGTCGGGACGGCGTGACCTGGGGACAGAGTGCCAGTGCGCTCTGAGCGGGCAGGTCGTGCAGAAGACGGGCCTTTGTGAGCGGCTGAGTGAACGGAAAATGTGCGTCTAATCTAAAACCTCCCTGCCAATTCACTGGTCAATTTCTTTGAGGAGGGGATTGTAATTAGCCCCTGACTGCACTTCTAAAGGGATCCAGCTGCTTAGCGACACAATCCCGCCGGAGACGTGTTTCAATTCCCACCCCCACCCCCCCCAGCTCTGGGCTGCAGACGCAGTTGCCCCCCCCCCCCCCAATATGGGCTGGGGCTCCATCCTTCAAACTCTATTGTGACTGGGACCAGTGGATCAGCCCCTCCATTGTCAGTGTGCTTTGGCGAGCCCCCACTCTACACGGGACGGGCTACATGCCGCCTCTGCTCCGGCTGTCAGCGAACAATGCAGGCGCTGTCCGCCAGATCTCCCACACGCACCCCCGCCCGCCTGGGGTGCCGCCTTCGCTGCGCCGCGCTAAATAAGGCCGGGGGGGGGGCGGTCAGCCCAGGCGAGAGCATCCAGGGAAACACCTCGCCGGTTCCTACGGCGACGCATTCCGATGCATCCGTCTCCTCCGCTTGTTAGGAAGGTGCGGATAATCAAGCTGCATTTAAAGTGACCTCGGAAAACACCCGAAACAACGCCGTGTTTAAATGGCCTTTAGGGTAGGGGGTATCTCTGCACCCCCCCCAAAAGACGGGATGGCAGGGCTGCGCCGCTTGTTAACCCGCCGGATCGGCAGCCGCGCCCACGAGGGGCCAGCGGTGGGTGTCCTTGACCTGTGACCGGCCTGCCAGGGACAGCTGGTGTGGCCTGTGTTTAATTTATTTATTTCCCAACACAAGACAGGTGGTCACACTTGGAAAAAAAAAAAAAAGAGAGAGATTTCTGGCCACACAAATGCTCACACGCACCACAGTAATGGACGTCCATTGACTGGAGCATAAATTTGCATCCTGGTAACAATGCACGCACACACACGCACACACAGAGTGGAGTGTGACTCATTAAACGGCCACCCTGATAAATGGCACCAACCCTTCTTTTTCCTGGGTGTTTTTTTCATTTTAACTTACACTACGGCACAAACGGAGTCGCACCACGAGGTGGTCTCAGCGTGCCAGTGGTGGCCGTCCCTGTCCGGGGTGACGCACGCCGCCACCACTCTAACAGCTGCGACCGCGGCCTCCTGAAGTTCCGCTCATCAGCAGTGCTCATCTCAGCTGCATGACTTCACGCTTAAATTTAGCCCTGCACCTCTGCCGGTCCATTTTAGACGTCGCGACTCGGACGCGCGTCCTGCGACTATGAGGAGGGGGGTCCTACGACTATGAGGAGGGGGGTCCTGCGACTATGAGGAGGGGGGTCCTGTTCAAAGGCGCTTTATGTCGTGCCACAAAATCCCCAGCGCACGCACACACGCACACAGTGACTCCTGGGGGCCAAGCTCCTGAGTCATTGGGCCCCCCAGTGCACAGGCAGGCCCCCTCCACGCGGCGTGACCCTCCCAAACGCGCACAGACGACATGTGTCCTCCGCCCGTTGCACAGCTGTCACTCGCCAGCGCTGGTTGGAGCGTATTTATAGGCGTAGGATGACGGCACACGGCGCCTGTCTATCAGGCACAGCTGGTCTACGCGAGAATAGGGAGTGGGAGGGGGGCAAAGCCGTCCAGCGTTAAGCGTGCCTTTACTTTGGTGTTGGGGAGGGGGGGGTGCGGTGGCATGTGCCAGAGCTGGGGGGAGGCAGCTGGGCTGTGGGGCCTATAACAGTTTCATTTTTAGAAAGATGGGGGGTTAGGTTGCCGAGAGTCTACCCCCCCCTCCCCCCAACAGCTGGCAGCTGTTGTCTCCCATTTTAAGTGCAGCAGGGACAAGGGTCAGAAGCCCACGCGTCTCCCTCTGCTGCCGTTCGGCCGCCTTTGGGCCCAGATGCGCTGCCGCGGAGCCGTCCCGGCCTGCTTGGGGTCTCCCGGCGGGGTCGCCAAAGGCCCCATTTTGGGTCGAATAACCGCTTGTGTGGCGGGTCACCTCCCTTGGCGTCTCCATCCCTGCGTGGGGGTGCACACCGGCAGGTGTCTGAAATGCAGGACTGAGCTCTGCAGCGGCTCCTGTACACCCTGAGGACGGCGCCCCTTCCCCCATGCGACAGTGGACTATTAAGTCCAGCGTTCACACACTTCCCACTAACAGGGATTCTCCACATCCCTGCATTTAGTGACGTTCTCCCCATGGCCGGAACCCAATAACACTCCATTTAATAAAACGATCAGATTTCTCCATGTGAAGCTAACAGACCAGGAAACAACCGCTGCTTTGTAAAGTGCATGAATTCCAGGCTCCCCGGGACTGCAGCTCAGGTAGATGTGTTTCCCCTTTTCTGGGAGAAACTCTGGAGAACAAAATACACTGGTCCTGAGATAACAATACACACAATACATTGGTCCTGAGATAAGTGAGGAGCACTTTCAGGTAAAACCCCCACCAAGGTAAGCGGACACAGCATGCACACCATTCTTAGGTACCGCACTGCCGACTTTATGATCATTGGTCAGTTTTCCAGCTTTGGAAAGAAGCCTATAAGTTGTATTTGTCAGACTGTATCCAAGCTTAGCGACGGCAAAGCAGATGTCAAAAATGTAAGCATGTAGAAATCGCTGGAGTCATACCTAATGTTTTACAGTTCTGTCGCTTTGCTATATTTCTCGAATCACCCTTAACATCTGCAAAACAGTAAGTGCATCTCTCGGAACAATTTGTACAAATTGCACCACACAATGGATCACCTGCAAAAGCCTGTAACTTTCTCAAAATCTGTAGTCCATCCCTCAAAAGTAAATATTTATGTCAATGCACTCGTCAGTGCCACCAGAATGACAAGTCCTTGTGTCATCATTCACGAACAGGATGGTCAAAATTCTTAGCCATGTTGTCAATAGAACAGCGCACTCTGTAAGTGTTTTCTGATGTAAACTATGGCTAAGGTTTTGATGACAAGGATTGAAAATACACAAGGTTGCATTTTTTCTGTATGGTATATAACAGTTTCAACAGTACAACATTACATGTACTGTAACACACCCACAAACACACACATATGCAAACATATATACAATATATACAGGTATATATACACTGTAAGTATGCATACATGTACAGTATGTAACTGTATGAAGGTGTACTATAAAATGCAAGTGGAATATTGTAATATGAAGCATCGCAGTAAGTATACAATATTATAGTACAGTGCACATTGTTGGATTACATACCTGTTGCCTCTATTGAACGATTGAGGACATGGTTGGTCTCCCAACATTCGCTCGTACCCTTTGACAATTGTGGCCCTTATGTCATCAGGAAGGTGCCTCTGATCCTGGCCTCTTCTGCCTCTTCTGCCTCCCTGCCTTTCCGCCGTGCAGCCTCACTCCTCTTCTTATTACCGACTGATGACCCTGTTCGTTTCCTTCTTGTTCTTCCATTGCCAAATTGTACCACTGTCTTGTGCTCTGCCAGTATATGCGTGTCAGCTGAAGGTTCACGAGAGGCGCCTCTGAGCTATTTCGGAGAACTGGTTGATAACTGGTCAATCTAATGCTTTAGACATTCCCCTTTATTGGTGAAAGTCAAGATTCAGCTGATAGCGATTCATCGATTTAGGACACATTTAAATAAAAACTATAACAGAGATATACAGAGAATATGCTTGATGAATTATGACTGGTTCAACCATCTTGCATGTAATGATCTATACAATGAACTAATGACTACATATTTGGGGGGTAAGATCATTCAACAGAGAAGCCAGTGTGATACATTTTTACCAACATGACATGAAAATGTAGGCATCAGCAGATTGGCATTGGCATGACTGTGACAAAGCATTTGCAATTTGACCAAATGAATGCAACGTCATATTTATGATGTGTACAACTCACACGGTGAGGGGGAGGTTGTACAAGTGGTTATGAAAATTTCATTCCTGATCTGAGAAATGTACCAAAGCGACTGAGAAAATTTGTAAAGAAAATTGCTGCTTAGTAATACTTAATATATCCATTAAAAGAACACATCACGAAGAGATCCAGTCATATTCATGCTTATTTTCATTTAACTCCAGCAGCCTGCACTTTTAAGGGGTTTAAGAACTGTATTTGAATCTGGAAATAAGACCTGCTACCAACTCATGAGGTCTCAGCGCCCCCTAGTGGCAGTTAAACGTAGGACAGAAACGCACACTGCCGGAAGACAAAACAGGAACTCCAACCCCATCTGCTCTGTTACACACATATGTGATTAAACTGATTACTGACTAATACAAGATTGAAAGATAAGTCAAACCACTACACCCCTCAGTTATTTAAGATTACAAATAGTAATCCATCCAGTGTGCATTTTAAGCTACCACCTGTATAAAATGTTGTCAGAAAATACAGCAAGCCATAAAATCTACACATGCCCACTACACAGTTAGTTCTAAATTAATCAGAATTCACTGCAGTTGTATATACAACATTTATTAAAGCATATGTTACAATACATAAACAGTTCAGTTCAAATAAAACATGCATTAAAAACAGTCAGTCCATAGATCAGAGGTGATACAGGCTTCAATCCCGTGAGACCATCTTCAGTCACGCTGAGCAGTCAAAGCACAGCACTCTGTCATAGCGCTCGCTGTAACTGAGGAGAAGGAGAGATACTGTTTAGGAAACCAGGAGATGCCCAAAAATACACAAGCAGCAGCCCAACTGACTCCCTGCGAGGGGGGGGGCAAGGGGACTGACACTCACTCCACCACGGTGCAGACGGAGCAGCACACGCCTGAGCAGCCGCTGCAGAGGCGCGTGCACGACGGGCAGGCATGGCGCTCGCACTGCGCGCAGGGTTTCCGCAACGCCGCCATCTTCAGACACACACAGCACACGGCGGACGCCTCTGGAGCACCTGGCCGGCGGCAAGCAGAGGCACGAGCGTCACCGTGACAGTTCAGACAGCAGCCAAAAGTCAACGCGGGAAGTGGTATGGAAAGGAAAGGCTGGAAAAAATAAAATGGCCACTGTGTGTGTGTGTGTGTGTGTGTGTGGTTGGGGGGGCTAGGGTTAGGGTTAGGGTTAGGGTTACCCTCAACTCAAAGAGTGCATGAGCTTATGAGCTTAGAAGATTCGGGTCAAGAAACAGTTAGTTACAAATGCACTGATCTGAAGGCTGATTTCACAACATCAGAAAACTAGTCGTGAAACACTTGTGTCACTCCTGTGCCAGCCAGTCTGGCCTGACCTGCGGCTGCTGTGGTTCTCTTCAGCCGGCCATCCTGTCCAATTAAGGTCTGTCCACGCAGCAGCCCGTGGCTTCCGGCCTGGGCCTCGCCGGGTCCTGCCATCTCCACCTCTGAAGCCTTTCCCTCAGTCTCCAGCTTCCATATCCTGCCCATTACTGCCTTGGTTCCATTAAAGAGCAAGTTCTTAGTTTTTTCTAAGAGATGGGGAGGGGAAAAAAAGGTTTGCCTCCATTGAAAAGGGACACAAATCTGAAACATAAGCATACAATTCCAAAATTCACAACCAGAACCAACAAGATCTTGGGCAGGTTTCCAGCTTTTAACAGCACCAGACAGACACTATGGAATCAGCCCCCCTCCCCTCATAATTAAAATTAAGACTACAAACTAAAAGTTTCGAACTGTCTTACCATCTTGACAGAATAGGTCAAGCACTCGCTGACAAACGCCTATGTTTACTCGGATCAAAGATTAATATTATGCAGCAGTTGGACACCACATCTGTTCATTAAGAGACCCAAATCCACAGAGCAGTAATGCTGAGCTTTGGCCCCGGAGCCCCCTGGTCTCAAGGGTGTCACGTACTGACGGGCGTCAAATTATTACTTTTTTTTATTTATTTTTTTTTTCTTTATTTTAACAGCCTTAAACACTTAGGTTCGGGACCCACGGCTCTCAATGCAGAAGTATCATACATGCCAGCAGCAGGGTTGCTTACTTTGTCCAGCAGGCTTGGCGTGAGTCTCTCAATTCGGGTCTGCACACACATGCACACGCATTTACATGTATGCAACAGCTTCTTTACCTTGTAAATAGTCTGTAGGGTTTGCAAACTACCCCAACGCTTTTGATGTAGCTAATTTCAGGTTTACAATAAAATAATATATATTTGCCGTAAGATTTCTTGCGCGACCGTGACAGTCTGAAAGTGCAAGTGTCAAACCAGATGCGTGAAAAGCCTTTAAACTAATGCGACAGACTGAGGCCCAACCCTAACTACTAAACAGTTAAAGTCGAGGACCAAACTATTCGGCCGACTGAGTGCACACTTCCTAACGGACTGAAACCTAACTACCCAAGGCTTCCAAACGGCACATATTACCGTTAAGTGGTGTTACTTACCGTATATTTCTTGTCTGTATTTGTTCCCGAAAACTCCGTGATGGTTCAACTCCTTTTGGCCAATGTGAATTTTGTACTGGGAGGAGAAAGTCTCAGCGAAAGGACAGGCTCTTTTGGGCATTTTACCTCTTCGAAACGGCGTCTAAAAGGCAAAATCCGTCCTTATTGATGCGAAAACGTCGAACTCAGCAGGCGGTTATTCGACTGAAAGGTGAAAATATTGACAAACAAGTTCGCACTTTCGCGGGGAAAGAACCTATTAAACTTTGACCCCGATCACGTGATTTGTAGTCTTTGTTTCCAGTCACATGGTCTTGTTTTACATATTATGAATAAGTATAGTTGTACTTTCAAAGTGGATTGGCTTTGATGTTTTATACTAAATTAGGAAATGTCTGAATACTAAATCGCACCTGTTTTACAGTTATTTCTGATTTAACTTACTAAATTGTTAAGATTTGAGTTCCATGAAAAATTCCAATTTTGATTTAAGTTCTGATGTGTTGAAAGCTGGACGGTATAAATATAGTTGTAATTAATATATTAGAACTATGTTTACCTTGTTATTTATTTAATAATTAGGCTGGTTTTATATGCACGACCTCCATCTTTTAGGTTTGAAAAAATGCAAAAGTGGATTACTTGGAACTGCTTACATAGCTTATGTGTGTGTGTGTATGTGTGTAAAAATGTTTGCCACAAAGTACAGCATGCACCTGATTTTACTTCCGCCTTCAGATTTTCTCTGAATCACACTGTTGCACATTCTTGAAGGACCGCGGATGTAACTGACATCTGCTGCAGGGAAGATGGGCTCAGCCATGCAGATATCTTTCAATTATTTGACTACATTATGCAGAAAGTTGTGTTCATGAACTGTGTTATGCTGTGAAACTAATTTTTACATCTCGTTAAAAGCAAACATAAGAGCACAAACATTTGTACCAATTCATACAACAGTAAAATACCAATTAACAACAAAAAAGGTGAATGTCTATATTAAAAGCGCTTTTTGCCACCAAATACTGGCCAATGTTTATTCAAGTCTATAGAATTGGTGTGACATTACATTCAGGATGCCAAAAAAATTACAACCAAAGTGCATTCGAATTTCACTGCAGACACAATGAAAAGGAACTGGCATAATATCAGCCAATATCATCTGGGTGACAGACTTTCCTGAGTACACATATTTAAAAGTCATAGGTAACTGATCTGCAAAATATAAGAGGAGGACAGGGTCAGTCATCGTGGGATGGTGTGTGGTGTTGTGGGTTAGGAGTCTGTACTTGTGTCCGGAAGGCTGTTGGATTAAATCCCTTGTGCAAGTACCCTAACCTGCAAAAACCGCTCCAAGTGCACTGGAAAAATGGCTGGACCTGAACTCTGACCCCAAGCTTTGTTCTCACCTGAACATGCGAGGATGTCTCCTAGAAGAGCAAGGTGGAATATGTGAACATTGAATTTCATTGTATTAGCCACCTGAAGGATGACAATAAATATATTCTTTGGGGTGTGTAAGTACCACCTTCTTAGCATTGATGCTGACTGAGAATCTGTCAGTACTAGTATATCTATGGTGCATATCTTGAAAAGAAAGAAAAATATGAATTGCAAAAATATATTTTTCAGTTGTGAGTTGGCTTCATGCAAAACATCTGACCTCAAAAACCTTGATCTGTATATTGAAAACTTCTTAGTGCAGGACACCAAGTCCAACCCTCCTGTCCAGAGAATATGCCCTGAATCTGTTTGCTAGGACAGGTTTATGAAGCCTAGAGACACACATTTTACAGATGGCTGTTTACAACGAACCATGTGTGTTCATCTATGTTTGTGTGATCCCTGCCTTACGCAAACAAGACAACAGTGTGGCTAAAACAAGATGGTGCATTGTGGGTAAATCCATGTGTTTGACATGCAGAGAAGCTTGGCTCTGCTTCCTAAAACATCTGGATCATGGACTCCCTTGACTTTCCAACACCGACCCACTTAACTGAAAAGAGAACAGACACAAGAGCATGAGGATCGTAGACAACTTCACCTTCAGCACCAAAACAGCCACAAATAAACAAAACGCTTCTCAGTTATGATCATTCTGGCTGGATGATTGCCCCTCATTTCACGGTCCACTTACTGGGGACACCAACTTGGTTCTCCACAAAGCGGATGTAGTTCTGGGCTTTGGGTGGGAGGTCGTCCCACATTCTGGCTGCTGTGGTGTCACTCTTCCAGCCAGGCAGTGTTTCATACTCTACCTCCACTTTGTGCAAGACTTCCATATTTGCTGGAGAAAAATAAACAAGCATAAGACAAAGCAATAAGATACAACTGCAGCTTAGCATGACTCTGGTTCTTGAGGTGCTTTGCCCATGACTCAATTCTTCAATGCTTCTATCGGAGGAAACTGAAATTCTTTGTTTATAATCATTTCTGAATATATGCTGAAGCAGGTCAGACGAATACCTTGCTTAAGAGCAAATCTCAAAGCTTCTCTCAGCCATAAGAAAACATGCTGCTCTTGGGTAATAATTAACAACCCTAATTGTGCGGAAATCAAAGGGAATCTTCAGCTAATGTATCGAGTTAAAATACTGAAAATCGGATATGGTGGGTGGCTCAGATTCATAATCAATTCTGTTTGGTATAGAACTTATTTTTAAATTCTGCCTGTTTTTTTTAAACCCATACCTGGGAAATAAGGAATTCTTTTTCCGTTGAGTTTGTAGGCCACGCCCACTTTGATTTCATCCAGCACGTCTAGGATATCCAGCTTTGTCAGTGCAAAACTGTGACAGAAAAGGCCAGAGAACCTCAGGTTCCACAAGAACAACAAAGGCAGAACATTGCAAAACCTCTACTTGAAGGCTGTCCAGTCCTGCCCAGTCCTTCAGAGTGATGTCAATGCAGGTTGCTATCCTCCCTTTTCCAAAGTCACTACAACTAGGCTTCTCTTTGGAATCTGAGGGTTTTAGTTGCATAAAGGAAGCCGAAAGCCCAGAATAACCCACAGCCCTACAGAATGGGGATTAGACCACAAAGGACACAACTGGAGATTTTATCACTTATTCTACACACCAGTAGGTGGGGCTAGAGTATAACTCTTGAGTATAATTCCGGGGTGGGCAATCTTATCAGCAAAGGGCCAGTGTGTGTGCAGGTTTTTGGGATACCCTTTAGGTCAGCTGTTCAAACCCAGGCGTGAGGACTCTTCAATCAGACCTCTAATTAGTAATCTAATTAGGGAGTTGCAGTGAAAACCCGCATACACTGCGGGTCCTTTCTGGATAAGATTGCCCATCCCTGCTTTAGATTATAACTCTGTTCTGCCCTTGTTAGCATGAAACAGAGCCGACAGCTGGGGCCGGCTGCACACTTACGCGGTGAAGCCGTTGATCATGTGGGCGTAGCGGAGGATAACCAGGTCCAGCCACCCACAGCGCCTCTTCCTTCCTGTGGTGACCCCCACCTCGTGCCCCCTGGTCTGAAGGAGCTCACCTATTGCCTACAGGAAGGACAGAGCAGTTCTATCGTTCTACCACTGTCAGAGCACAATTTTATGGTATACTGATATCTATGCTGCTTGAGCTTTAGCGTCAATAGGCATCCCTGACATTAGTGTCTATTTCTCATGCTTATTGATAATAGTTATCCAGTGGAGGCTCTTTGTTGGGCACCTACATTGAGCTGCTCCGTGGGGAAGGCTCCGATGCCTACTCTGGTCGTGTAGGCCTTCACCACGCCGTACACCTCTCCCACGTTCTGAGGGGGAATACCCAGCCCAGTACACACTCCGCCCACGGTGCAGTTTGATGATGTCACAAAGGGGTATGTACCTGAAGACAGGGGAGAGACCAAGGATTTTCATTGTGCCAGCGTGGTTGCATTACTACAATAATACTGAATCCCTTGAGAGATTATGTACCACAAACAATCAGAAAACTCCAGGAGGACACTATCCCCTTCCAAGGGCAGGGGGGCTGCGCCACCTGTTCCACGTTGCATGCCTCAGAGCCCTGACCGACGCACACCGGATGACATCATGGTCTCAGTGGTGGTGTTCCTCCCTCAGTAACAGGAATGGCCTGATGCACTCTCCCCCAGAGGGGCGGAGGTATCTCCTTACCAAAGTCAATGTCAAGCAGGGCAGCATTGGCTCCTTCTACCAGGATCTTCTTTGGAGATCCATGAATAGCTTCGTACATGAAATAGACACCGTCTCTCACCATGGGCCGTATCCTTTCTGCGTATTCCTGTACAGGAAGCAGCACCAACGTGCTAATCAGAGCAGCCCAGTGACTCGGCAGGTTCTGGGCGGCAGGAAAAAATCCACGAAAAGCCCAGGAACAGTGACTCGCATTTCAGTCCTTTTTACACTGCAGCGCTCTTCATATTGCCTTACACTCACCTACACAGCATTCATGGCTTAAAGAGAGTTAGGTTTCGTGTCAGAACCATCTTGTAGGAAAAGCTGTTATTGAAAGCAGCAGCCACCCACCAGAGTTGCAGAAAGTAAAAATCCAGTCCAAGAGAACTCAACTGCAGAGGTGGCAATTTCAGGTCCAGAAAGTAAAAATCTAGACCATGATTTACTTTCAACCAACCAGTTGAGCATAAAGAGTCACAGTCACAGAGTACTCAACTGGTTGGTTGAAAGTAAATCACGGTCTGGATTTTTACTTTCTGGACCTGAATTTTCTACCTTCGCTACCCACCGAGACACATACACACAAACCTGGAGCTGAGTCTCCTCCACTTACCTTCAGCTTTTTCAGCTGTGCTTCTGCGTCCACCTCCAGCATGGGGAACATGGACTGGTACTGCTGGGCAAGGTTCTTGAACCTGGAGATAAACCACATTTATTCTAACGCCCCAGGAAGAGCTGACGCCATCTGGGAGCAGTGACCCAAGCCACGACCTCCACCTGTGTGCACTGCAGTTCCTGCTATGTACCTGCCGGAGAACTCCTTGAAATCAGCCAGAAGGTCACAGATTCTCAGCCCTGTTCGAGATGCCTTGCTGGAATATGCAGGACCAATGCCTTTCTTAGTGGTGCCAATACTGTTGGAGAGTAAAAACAGGTGTTGTTGTGAAGGACTAACTCAATTATTTCTTTATTCAAGGAAACACACTTCCAAGGAGTATACCCAGAGGCTGACAAACACAACAGCGAAAATCATCAACCTTCTCAGCTGCTTTATAACCATTATTTCATTCAGGCCTAATTTGATGTGCTTACTTCTTCCCTTCCTGTGCTTGTCTCTGGACCTCCTGCAGTCCGTCCACAGCCTGGTGGAAATCAAACACTGTCGAGGGTAGTAACAGACACCATTAACTGTGCTGTAGTTTTGCACAAATGGTCACTGCGCAGTAACTAAGAGGACATACAGAGGACATGCAGATGCTTCCTTCCTACGAGTTGGGTTTGTTTGTTGCCGTCGACAGCCACACATACCGATGTGGGCCCTATCGGAGATGACCAGTCGCTTCTCCCAGCCCTTGAGCCCTGCAGGGGGGGGGGGCAGAATTCAGGGAAGAACAGAATCCTTTAGAGCCTGCTGCTACTATATGGGAAGTAGCTTTCAGGAAGAGAACCAATACTCCCAATACTCCATACCTTTCTTCTCATTTTTGTCCCCTTCTTCGAACAACCCGGGCAGATGTATGACCACTCCGTTACCTGAAAAGGAACCAGAGAAAGAGCTGATAAAAAGCCAAAACGGTAGACATCCTTCAGCAGTCGAAGCGATCTGTCCACATCACCATCTGGAGAGATCTTCCTTTCACCTTCCTGTCTCATAGTCACAGTGGAACCTTTCAAAGGGTCTGAGATTCATGCCACAGTCTTTAAAAATAAGCCTGTTGGCTTAGGGTGGAATCTGGCTATATTTGCTTTCTCACACAGTAAGAAAATGTGCAGATATAGTGGAGAGCGATACGTACCAATGAAGGAAATTGCTTTGGAGTTGATGATCCCACTGGGAAGGAGGTGGAAGTCATACTCCTTGCCATCCACCACCACTGTGTGACCAGCATTGTTGCCACCCTGCAGACAGAGGGGGTGATATGAGATTACTGGAGACTTATTGACTTCACCAAGGACATCAGAACACCTTATGATATTCTCTCTCCTATATGGCAAATGACTTTATTCTGTTCTGGGAACTTACGATGGGCGATTTAGCCAAAGCTCCACATCACTCATTCTATATTCAATCCATTGTGATCACTGTTCCCTTATGGAAAAAGGACCTCAGTCTTTAAAAGTCTTGTGAGTGAAATATGGTCCATGTCACTGGTGCCATTAGCAGGGTTCAGTACCATGTATTGAGAGTGAACTGGCAGTGGGGATATGTTTTGGGGGGGGGGGGCGACACCAGACACTGCAGGAGGTTGCAGTGGTGTAGCAACCCCAAATTTATGAGCTTGTTTTTCTCAGCAAGCAAAGCCCAGAAACAGGTTCTGGCCCAACCACCGACCTTGCAGGTCCAGTATCCCACCTATCCCGTTCCTGAAACCAAACCGCTCACGTGCAAATCTCCACCCAGAAGTTCTGCAGAGAGAGCTATTTTAATCGCAGGGCTTGGGGCAGCATGACCACCCCCCCCCCCCCCCGCCCACACGCCATTCCTCAGGGGAAAGGCTCAGACCCCCCGCCTGCCCTTCTCGCGTGTCATGCTTCCCGGGAATGTGACCCGGCTTTCTCCCGGCGGGCAGCGTAAGGAACGCGCCTGCTGTCCGCTGGAGGACGCTTACATAACGGCAGGGTGAACTTACACATCACGCTGCGGATGAGACAGCAGCTTCAGACGACAAAACGATTAGAGCCTCTAACGGGACCAGTTTGGGGTGTTTGCTGTTTAGTGCAAAAGCTCCGGGGAGCATTCTCAATTCTTGTCAGTAGAGGGCGCAAATCTGCCAGATTGTCATTACGTAAATCTAACGCTAAGTTTGTACAGACAAAACAAACAGCACTTTTAAATAGAACCTACTTATTTGAGCTATGCTGAGATTTCGGAGACTTTATGTATGCTAATAAAATGACATGTATCAACAAGTTATGCTTCTGCTGAACTTATATTAATAAAACAGTGATGGGAGAAATGGGCTTTTAAGTATCCAACGTGGAAAAAAACTGTCAAAAAATGACAATGCTTAATAATGCAATTGATCATGGATTCTAAATCCTCATTTCTCTCAAAACCAACATAAAGTATTATTTTACTCCAAATGGAAGTTCAGCATAGTTTTGCTGCTAATCTGAATATCTCCACAAGACTACAAATCCATTGTTAAAGAGAGATAACCATATGTCAAATTTATCCATTAAAATAACATCACTCCACACGTGTGAACAGTCAGCAGTCAACCTCTACTTGTAAAAGCCTGATTATCTTGTTTTAATTCAAACAATGACTTTGATTAACTCAAAACCCAGGGTCCCCGTAATACGGCCAGTGTGTGCTGATTTACAAATAATTAATTGAATAGTTGTTTGAGCTACCAGCCAAATGTTTCTCAAAGCTAGTGCAGTTCAGAGCCTATCTTAGTTGACCAGGGTTGTCAGTATTATTTATATCCAATGCAGACTTTACAAATTAAAAAACATTACATCTCTAAACCTCTATTTTCAGCCAGGCAGCTAGACTGTTTGTTTGTTTATTTATTGTTTGTTTGTTTGTTTGTTTGTTAAGCTGCAAACTGAATGTATCATCAGTAAAGATGGCAATCTGTAAACTCTGCACTTTTAACAGAGCCATATGTAGATGAAGATCGGAAGCTTATTTGAATTTAGTGATTGTCATTGTTGACACACCACAGCACACAGTGCACAACGAAATGTGTTCTCTGCATTTAACCCATATCTGACAATGTGACATAGCAGGAAATCTGTGTGTTTGCAGAGATGCCGTAAGATCTGCCCTTCGCTGATGTGCCTGGTAACAAAAGTAAAAGTGAAAACAAATAAATAAATTCAACCAAGAGACCTGGGGCCTGTTTCACAAAGCAGGATTACTTGCTTAGCCAGATAACTTGCCAGATTTAAGGTAGTCTGGTCTAAATGTAAGTTGATGAAAATAAGGTCTATTTAGCCCAGACTACCTTAAATCTGGCAAGTTATCTGGCTAAGCAAGTAATCCTGCTTTGTGAAACAGACCCCTGAAATGATCAACTGGATAAAATCCTCGGGGCTGTTTCAACAGGACTGGCCAGCAGGGGAAAGACTGGAGGCGCTAAGAATTTTATCTCTATGATAGTCTCCTGTCCTCAGCAATTAGTAACCTTTGCCTGGTTAAACTGAAAGCCCATAATCTATTGCATGACGATGTTCACTGATTACATCACCAATATGGTATCTTGTAAAAACAACATTTCCACAACTGAAGAGTCAATTTCCAAAACGAACGTTTTTGTTGTTGTTGAGATGAGACCACCAATGACCTGAAGTCAGGCTTCTTCATCATGATTTACACTTTTGGGAACCAAAACTCACTCAGTCCTCATTAAACTTTTCTTACATTTTTGGAAATTTGCTCTGCAATTACACTTCCTATACTCCACCCCTCACCACCACCCCCCCAGGGGCCCTGTCCAGAATAAGCGGCTAGGAAGATGGATGGATGGCGACATGCCTCCAGATACACAGTTATTGACATCTACCATGAGCAAGTTTGCTGAAACAAAATCCAATCTATTATATGAACCTACAGACTTCACTAAAGATTACCTGCTTGCACAACACTTAACGCCAGTTAAAAGGGTGTTCCTCCCACGCTGTCACCAAACCCTGATATTTTTCAAGAGATGTAAATCCAGCATTGCAAAATGTCCTACAAACATTAAGCCCTCAAAATGAGACAAAGTTTAGGACACTGTGGTCAGCCTGGAGTGTAACTGATACGAAGCAGATTCCTTCAAGGGGGCTTCTGAGCCGGTGACGGCCTTTCAGTCGCTCTAGTTACACCGGACGGTTGTTTGTTATATTTATAGTGACTGGGGTGGTTCTGATGTGACATTTCATGGTGCGGATCTTGAAGCGTCTTTTCCACCCACTGGAAGGAAAAGTTTCCACCGGCTCAATGAAGCCCACGTTGCGCTCTTACATTACTTTATCGACTTCTAACTTTGTTACCTTTGCAAATAAGGCATATTTATATGTAAGAGCAAGTGAATTAGAGCACCTGGTATTCCGCGTTTGCCTCTCTGAGAATGCCTTTATTTACAGAATAGCTGGTCAGATTTTACTAAATAAATCTTATCAACATATATCTTACCATTCGGGACTACGACTGCATAAAGAAACTTTGGAACTGCGGAATAATTTCTAGTTATTTCTAGGAACTGGAAAAGGGAAGGACAGTGTTTCTATTATCTTCCCTGGGTTCTTCAAGTACCTTTGATTACGACGTCACGGATTTTTTTCACGCTTTAACATTTTGCAAATTCAAATTCTAGTTCTCGTTGAGGAACTGCGTATTTTACCTGGCATCGGCATATGATGTCGGCCTCCGTTGCCAACAAGTCGACGACTTTCCCCTTGCCCTCGTCGCCCCATTGCGCACCGAGCACCACAGTCACTTTGTTCACGGCGTCGTTGCGGTTCCGCTTCATTCCTGTTTTTGGGGGATTCGTGTAAGTCTTATGATCGTTCGCCGTCCAGCCGCTCGACATGTTAATGCCAACGCAAATGCAACAGCTGCGCCGAAGGCCCCGAAAGCCCCACCAGTATATAAACTCCGCGCCCAGTGGAACCAAATATGGATCAAGCGGCCGGTGATGTCAGGGGACACGGACGCGCATAGGTCAAATTCACATGGCATAGATGATGGTGACATTTAAAGAGGCGTACGGCTGAATCTGAAGATTCCTTCGCTTCGTATTTATTGCAACTCTCACAATTTTCATATAGCCTCGAGTCCCGGGCTTTTGTTTGGTGTGCATGTTTTATTTCCTTTAGTTATTTGGGATTAGTAGGACCTCATAATCATAAAAACCAAACGTTTTTTTTTTTTTTAATTAATAGTTTTAAACAAAAATGATGTCCTAATATTAGGACGTAGGGTCTCAGGATGTTAAGCCTAGATTTGACAAGTTATTTTGAAAATTAAGTTAATAACGTAGTCTCAATATCCAAGGAAAAGACAATGCTGTAACTTAGATCTTTATTGATGTACATCATTGATTTAAGACACAATAATGAATTGTCATTAGTAAACACAGTCTGGCGTCACGTAAAACTAAAATACTAATCCAAAGAAAGACTATAGCTCAATAATATAAATGACGACAATCTTACAAATCTTACGTAAAAGGACACTCTCTTATATCAAAACTAAAACAATATAAAGCTTTTTCTTTTTCAGTTAGATTTACAAAACTTAGTCATATTGTAATACTCATCGGTGAGTTACACGTTGACGGTTGTGACAAAAGGAAAAAAGGACATCTATGTGCGCATCATGATAAATTATAAAAAGCAAAAACACAAAAACGATTAAGTATTCATTTTCTCAGCAAATCAAGCTATTGAATAGATCTGCTGTTTGCATTATTGTAGAATAGTGCAATGCAATTGTAACTACTTTACATACAGATCAGCACATATTTTCTCTAATACATGACCGTTTTTTTCGTTGACAATCACAGGAAGTATAGCTAAAAAAAATCACAAATCCAAAACTAACATTAGATTACTATCCATTCTCTTTTCTGAAATTCCAAAAACGTGTCCCACACATCTTGGTCAATTTTCCCCCTGAAAAGCACAGGAATTCTCTAACAGCAGTTTATCAAACTGATAAAAAGTGTCCTTTCTCACGGGCCATCTTCATTCAAATGACGTATAAATAAGTGATTGTAGGCAGTAGCCAGACCCAGCTCTAGGTGACATAACAGCAGTAGAGTAACAAAGAAAAAAAATCATTTTCTTTGACATTTTGTCTTCCTTTTCTTGTAACCACCTACAAAAAAAAGACAGTATAATTAGTTTACAAACCAGAAGAAAATTTGATCCTTAATCCCTAACAAGCTTGGTGTTGTGGAGGGATAACTAGACAATGTAGAAAAGAAAAGAATTCATAGGTGTTATTTGCATGACAAATGTAATTTCTGGTAATAATATGAGACCAGACCAAGAAGATGTGGCATTTCCTCCAGGCCTTTTCCCATTACTGCCAGGACGGGAGAGTCAGTTGAAGACAGGAAATGTTTATGGGTCATTCTGGTAGGTCTTAGACATGTTAGTGGGTTAAAATCACGTTGCTCTGACAGCTTGCTGGCATATTAGGCTATGCATTGGGCAATATGCACCATTGCTACTCATATATTGAATCTCCCATTGATTGATGTGTGTAAAATCTGGAGTGTTGAAATGACTTGAACAAATAAAAGGTCAAGTGAAGCTGAGTCAATAATAATAATAATAATAATCAATGGAAAGATGTGCTATAATGTCAAGAGTCTAGACAAAGGGTCCGCAACCATTTTTTTTTTGCCCCGAGGGCCAAATTCCACCAGCATGTCTGAACTGGGGGGTGGGGGGGGGCATCATACTGCTGTTCTCATCATACGGCCAGCTTGTCATTAAAATGGAATTTAGTCCATCAACTGCAGTCTTATGGCTAGGATGTGCCTTACACATCCCGTCTGCTCCACAAATCTGCAATATTTCATTAGGTCACAATCAGAGGCAGTCACAATCAGAGGCAGTCACAATCAGAGGCAGTCACAATCAGAGGCAGTCACATAAAGAAAAGCACCAGTAAAAGCAATGGAATAGGATGGTTAAAACAATCGGGACCAGATGAGGATTCATTATTCGTTCAGTGGCAGGAAAAGCAGTTAAGGAAGGTAAAGCTTACAGTCTGACCTTTGGCCCACCCTCTCCCACAGGAGTTAGTTCTCCCACTTCAGTAGTTTGACCTACCTCACTGCAAACCACACCCATTATGTTTTGGGTGCCTCTTTCCACTACCACCTTCTGCTTTAGGAAATTAAAGACAAAAGCACATGCTGAAGGAAACCGGCAAGTTTTATGCAGCTGATGTTACGATTTTTCCACAGAAATGATTGTATTAAAACAGGCAGGTTAAAAAAAAAACAAAACAAAAAACCTGAAAAGCGGACAAGGCCTACATGTTAGGGATTCTGACATTCATGAGATAATGCGACATCCTCAGAGATTTAAAAAAAAAAAAAAAGATTAAAATGGTGTATTCATATATCCGAAAGAGGACACGGCGGCTGGCTGACAGCGTGCAGCCCACCTCTCAGACATGTAAAAACAAATGCTGTGCATATCATTATCTTTATTAGTCTGCACAATACAAAACAAATACATTACCTTCTGCATTGATCTTTTTATTTTTCTTCGAATGTTTCTGTGACTTTTTTGTTTCAGGCTTCAGGAAGGCGGAGTCCGGGACGGAGTCCGGCACGGAGTCCGGCGTCTGCGAACCCGTCCCGTCTGACGTGTGGCATGTGACCGGGCTCACGTCGGCATCATTCCCGTCACCGTTCACTTCCCCGGTGCCCACACCACTGCACTCCACTCCACTGGATCCAGCTTCGTTCCCACCCATGACAGACGTGTCAGGCTTGGCAACATGACCATCTCTATCAGTGTCTGCAGATGCACCTTCGGGTGAAACTGAATGGCATGCACCAGCGCCCCCTTCTGGCGTGTTATTTTCAAGTTCGCTGGCACACCCTGGCTCCTTGCTGCTGCTAGGATCGTGTTGCGGTACGTCCCCGTCTGTGGCCGGGGGAGGGGTGGAGAACATGGGCGTGTCACTGGTTTGTGATATAAGTGGGCAGCCCCCAGAGCGACCTGACTGAGACTCGTTCGAGTCCTGGGGGCTGACTCGCGGCTCCTCAGCCTGCGATGAAGCTGCTGCCTCTGTGGATGAGGCAGGGACCTCGGCCTCCACCTGCCTTCTGCTTTCCGGGGAGAGGCCGTTCTGCGTGGTCTCGGGGGCCGAGACTCCGGCTGCATCTCCGGCAGACTTTGCATTTGGTCCTGGAGCAGAGGAGAGGGTGTGGGTGGCTCAGTGTTGCAGGACACCCCCATCACCACAGGTCTGCATTGGCGGGGGGTGCTGGAGCCACAGACAACACCGAACAGCAACTCCGCGGAAACAGCCAAAGGCTTCAGCGACAAAACGCTGGAATGGCGTGAGCAGGCAAGCAGCAAAGTCCGGTTAGGGCCGGAAGCAAAGGGGGGGGGCTCAGGGTGAACACGGGAGGAGGGGGCTCGGTCCTTACCAGGCTCGCCATTATCCCTATGCATTTCCCTAGTGGGACGGCTTTCCGTTTCGCACCTGGGCCGCGTCTTCCTCAGCTGGAAGCCCTTCCGGATATCTGCCAGCAGGAGATCCACAATGCAGCCCTCTTCCTGCACCACGGGGCCCTTCCGTACTGGGGGGGGGGAGATGGGACCACATGTTTCAAATGACAACAAATATTTTGCATTTTTACCAGTAATGACAAACATGTGGGCAGCAGCATTGGGGAGGGGGGCAGACTAAAGGGATACTTCGGAGACTCACTTATCTTCCCATTTTCCCCCTTCTGCCGCTTGGATTCCTCCTCAGCCAGCTGCTTTTTCCTCTTCTCTGCTTTGGCTGCCTGTTCCTTCAGAGTCTGGTTCTCCTGGACGATGTGGGGAGGGTTACAGTAGATAATGAAACACCCTTGATGGCCAGCAGTAGCACCTCACGGCTTCCCGCAGCTAGCTCAATCAGACCTTGGTCGGATCCTACAGGGACAGAGCTCAGCCTCCATGTGACTGATGTTACATGTTAATGGCGACTTATTTTCACCCAGTGAAACAATTTCTTGGTTTTGCTCCACCGCACCCATTTTTGGCAATCAGACTATGGCACTGGAGGATATCCAGACTGCCCTCACCTTGAGGGCCTTGAGAAAGAGGTTCCTGAAGCTCTTGATGGTACCAAAGAGCTCTTCCAAGGAGAGCCGGGACACATCCTCACACAGGTACAGAGCCAGTCCCACCCTCTTCTCCTCTATGGCAGCAAAGTGTTCCTCCAGAGCCTTGCAAGCCTCCAGGTTGCTCTAAAACACAATCACTATTAGTGACGATCAATGTTCCCACTAAAGATGACACAGGTAAATCTATGATTATGCTCCCTTTCGATTGGTCCTGCATCCTCAAAGCCTTAAGATACCATATCTGATGCAGATGTTTGGGTTCAGCCTTACATTACTACCACTGTGAAGTTATCTCAAGCTGTAAAATCCAGTATTGTTATCATGCCCAGAGCCATGCATTTTTAGTAGGGTTGCAAAGGGGGGGAACATTTCCAGAAACTTTCCATTCCATGGAAAGTTAAGCTGGGGAATTTTGGAAATATTCCAAGTAGGAAACTTTCCAGGGGAATTAACAGGAAAATTTCCAGAATTTTGCAACCCCAATTTTGACACAGAGAACACACCTCAATAATGTCCAGGTACTGCCCCTTGATGTCCTCCATGGAAGAGGATGCCACCTTCTTCTGAATATCCCTAAGACGTTTGAAGAGTGAGTTTGCCTCCGTCTTGACCGACTCTAGGTTCACCCTGTCAGATGTAAAAGGAGGATGTTATTCATTCACACTTACATTCTTTCAAAGCAGAGGATTACGGGAAATGGGACAGGTTAGGAAAATCTGGCAGTGCTCACCCAGCGGCCATTTCACAGATATTAAGGTCGTCGGGGAGGCTGAGAAGCTCAGGGTGGTGTTCCTCAGCCTCCTGTGTGTAATTAACATTCAGAAATGCAGGAGCTGACATCACTGTGGTCTTCAGACACCATGTTATAATCACTACAGAAGTAATAACCCATTGACATGGCAGACAAGATGCATTTCCACATATTTTATTGTAATTGTACCTCCACGATGTGATGGAGTAGAGTGATACGGGACTTATTGGCTTTGGTCTCGGTCAGCTTTAGCAGGGTACTGATCTTAAACCCATCCGCATTCCCCGTATGACTCCCCTGTTGGTAAAGAGCAAGTCGTTACCAAGGTTACCACCATCATCACCAGCCCCCATAGGTCTAATCAAGAGTGGGTCAGGTGCATGTTTTTGCCATGAAAGATGTCACCTTCACGGGGCAGGAGGGAGGAAAGACATTGCATCCCTTACATAGTTCAAGAAGTTGCCAACGTTGAGGATGAGCTTGCAGAAGCTGGGCAGCCGGGTGCTCTCTCGAAGGCCTAATGGAGAAATGCAAACTCTCAGATGATTTAAAAGCACTTCAAGCCTGCCTTTTTCATACAGGGACAAAGCAGTCGTTGTAACCAAAATCAAAATGGCAGAGTGAACTACAAAAAAAATTAATCTGAGGGGTCAAACAATCAAGGTTGTCCTTTACAGTAGCAGAGCTCAGAGAGGACTGAAGGTCAGCCTCATCACATCACCCTGGACAACCATCAGGCCTCGGGCCCCCCAGGGCAGACTTACTGACACACGCTCCATCCACCAGCTCAGCCTTGGGCTTCAGCATATCTATCAGGGACCCTGTTTCCTCACACAGCCGCATACACTCTATCCTCAACGGGTAGCTGAAGGTCACAGGTCAAAGGATGACAAAAGAACCAAGAAGAGATTTTAACACTCTGGGCTGATTCGGTGTGAATCAACATGCTGTTAATGCAGGTTCAACTTCCACAAATTTATGCAGCTGAAACGTTACCAGGGAACATTCAGAAGCAGGAGGTAAAAATGGTCCACATTAGCCAGCTTGTCGTTCTCCCCCTGGAAGGACTTCAAGTTCTCGATCTATGTGAAATGAAAGAACAGGGCTGTCATCTTAAACGACCACGCTCCAGTGCTGTTATCTCAGACAACCACTAGAGGGCAACATTTCCACGTGTTTAAAATTTTAAGATGACGGCGGGTACAGAATCAAATCTACAGGCTACACTTATGCCACTGAGTAAATCACCCAGTCAACCAACCTCATGCTTCTCTGGAAGAAGCTTCTGAAGTTGTTTCAAAACCTCCACATCAAATTTAGATCTGTCCCCATTCTGTATCATGGCCACAAACTCCTGATTAGAGCTATTAATGAAAAAGGAGAGAGCATATTTTCAACAGAAACAGAGCAAACATGCATGGCAAGCAAAGTAGGGGGTAGAGGAACATACCATTTGAATTGCTTCAGAAAAATGTTCAGATTCAGGCTTTTCTTTGGTTCAATGAAAGAAATCTGTGGTTAAAAGATTGGATGTCATTCCTATCTTCATATAGCACTCAGCAGGCAGACAGAGGCAGTGACAATTGGCCACCCACCACTGAAACCTAAGCATTCACCTCCTTCGCCTCTTTCTTGGGTGGTGCGGCTGACCCCTTGTCCTTGGTCTGTGTCACAGGCAGACAGAATAGCTCCTCGATGCTGGAGTAGTCTGGCTCCAGGGGACTGTCCTCCTGCACAGAGGTCCACATGGACTGGCCGTCTGTTTGGTTTGGGGGCAGGGACAGCTACGTCAGACATGCTGGCAAATGTATTTATACAGCTTTACAGTGAGAGGGGGAAAATTAACCCATTCTGTCCTGTTGAAAAAATAACCTCTCTGTTATGGGTCTATGCTGCACTCTAGGAATATGGATTTACACTAAGAACAAGGGTCAAACGGCAGCAATGAGGACGGTGCTCACCTGTCACCACCTTAGAGGGCAACTTCTGCCAATTGAGTTTCTTCATTCTCTGTGTGGGGCAGCGGCCAGGCTTGTAGGAGGGAACAGGTGCCTGGCCTAGACACAGGGACCTTTGGGCCACCACCTCTCCCCAGACAGGTGGGGCAGGAGGGGGTGGGACCAAGCCTGGACCACCAGGGGGTGGAGGTGGTGGTGGTGGACCCATGCCAAGTGGAGGGGGTGGACCAGGAGGAGGGGGAGGGCCAGGGGGAGGAGGGACGCCCAAAGGTGGAGGCAGACCTGGAGGAGGAGGAGGGCCGGGTGGTGGTGGTGGGCCAGGAGGAGGGGGGGCGCCTAGAGGTGGAGGAGGACCTGGAGGAGGAGGAGGGCCAGGTGGTGGTGGTGGGCCAGGAGGAGGGGGGGCGCCTAGAGGTGGAGGAGGACCTGGAGGAGGAGGAGGGCCGGGTGGTGGTGGTGGGCGAGGAGGAGGGGGGGCGCCTAGAGGTGGAGGAGGACCTGGTGGAGGGGGCGGGCCAGGAGGAAGCTGAGGGCCTGGAGGTGGAGGTCCCGTAGGAGGTGGGCCCCAAGGAAGGAGGCCCCCATGGGGCAAACTCATAGGAGTCAAGGGCTGTGGCACATCTGTCTGGACAGCACGATCAGTCCTCTTTGGAGGTGGTGCACTGGACTTCCCCTTGGAGAGGTTGAGGCGCTCCATAATCTTGTTGGAGTCCAACTGAGCTGTAAAGCACCCCGACAATTAACAGTGAGGTCAGAGAAAAGAGAGCGATCTCGATGAAACAAGCCGCCTGGAAACCACACGCCCATGATTCATGTTCAGATTTGTTTCAGATGGATTTATAGGGACTCCATGGCTAGAAGGGCAGGATAAACTGTTTAAAGGAAATAAGAAAAACACTATGCAAGCACAAATAAAACCTCAGCCGCGAACATGAAGGGAAGGACTCACTGTCCTGTGCCAGCAGCATGGCCCGGTTGATAATGGCGTCCAGGGTCTGCCACACCTCCACTCGCTCCGGGCTCAGCAGCAGCAGGGCCTGCAGGATGGAGAGCAGGTGCAGGGAGACCGGGGAGCTGCTGACCTACAGCGGGGAAGGGAGGGGGGAGGGAGAGGTGCTGCTTTAAGTGGTTTCCAGGCAAGGAGTGGGATCCACCCAGCCGAACTGGCTCAGTAACAAACCCACTCTCACAATGGATTCTGAAGTTGATATCAGGAGAACTTTTAACTTTGTCTCTAACCAGGTCTAGCTGAGGTATTAGAAGCCAAACTATCCTGTTGAATGTCCACATGAAAAATAAATCCCATCTGTGATGGTGATTGCCATCATTGTGTGATTTTAAGAAATGATGCAGCAGTCTGACCAAAGCCTGCAGATAAGTCGCTGATAAATTCACACGTACGTTAGTGATTCTCAGCAGGAATATATCAGTCAGAACATCTCCCAAACCTAGTCACACAACCCCACAGCTTATCATACTGCCAGTTTGATGCAAGTAGCTGGAGACACCATCTACAGTGCTGCGTGGGTAGTGTGTGATCGAGCTGTCATTCACCTTGTTGAAGAGGGTGGTAAAGACCTCCTGATGGTTTCCCATGTCAATACCCCCATAGAGCCTCATAATCTCTTCCTCATCTTCAGCCATGGTCTCCTCAAATGCTTCACACTGGATGATCAGGTCAGCATCCTCTTGCTCCCTGTACACACACACACACACACACACACACACACACACACAAACTAAGTACTCATCCCAAAATTGGTAAGTGCATAATTTGTCATTATGTCATCTGCCTTAAAAGTCATTAAGTGTTGCAATATCAGAGATTACAAGTCAAAATGAACGCAACTCCATAGAACGAAACGTCAACATAAACCAATTTTATTGCGTCCAAGTCACTGGATCGATAACGCGTGCACGCAAAATAATGAATAAGTAGTTAAACGTACTGTACTGAATCTCATTTCAGTAAAACGTTTCAAAAGAATTGTTCAAGACTTAAGACGACGACAAAAACTATACGCAGAGCAAACACATACTCACCTTAATTTAGGCAGTATGTCCAGCAACTGTAACCCTATAAAAGAAAACAGTAGCACATCATAAAGAATTGCACAACATTCCTGTAAATCCTACATTTTGGTTGATGTCAAAATTCCAACCTGAAACCAACAGCTTGCATGCTTCAGCCAGGATCAGTCACATGACGGCCATTAGTGCCGCGGTACCGTACAGGTGTGAACAATTAGCCGCTGTTTCGTGAAAGCAACGGGGTTTTTAGTTCGCTCGCTGACACCAATTCACCGGCAAATAAACAGTTTTTATTTGGCTTTAAAACAGTGTAATTCCGGAAACTAAGATGAAACCTTATCGTAAACATAGTAGAAACGAATATATCAGTTATATTTATTCAGGGCTGTTGCTCGGATCCAGAGACGTAGTCTGTCCGAGGGTCATTATATCTCTCTTAAGTTACGATGGTCGTAGGACTACGAAGGTTTAGGGAAACAAAACAAAGCCTTAAAGTAGTAATGCGGTGATGTATGCAGTTCTCAAACTGAGACCGTTTTGAGCCGAGCAAATCATTCGGGGCTTCAGCTCCTGACGCGTCTGTATTTAACTGTTTAAGATTTCGTATACTTCTCTGGATAATAATATACATACGAATAATATCGATTTATGATTTCTCCCATAAAATGAAAGCAGTCTATTATATGAACATCTAACATGCTAGGTTTCATACTTTACAATTATGCGTAAATTTATAACAGAACAGCACAAAAATTAATTTTTAACCATTCCAAAAACCATAGTTCATGTCGCTTTCTGTTTTGAACGTAAATAACTGGTTAAGAATACTGCGTTCCTAAAGTAGGACAGTAATTTTAATCAGGAGTCATATCTGGAGCAAAAAACAGATAAGAATTGTGCTCTCAGACAGTAATGGTGATCTCCCCTAGATTCAGGGCAGTCCTAAATTAAGGACGACCAAGTCAAACGGTTTTGTGGCAACTGTGTTCCTAATCAACCTACTTCCCCCCCATCACTAGGTTATTTTGGGGTAGGAAGAGGGGCTTTTTTTAACCACAGTGTGCCCATAAGAAGTTCTGCTTGTCTGACGAGCTGATTTTTCTTGTCTTCCCTTTCGGCTGCCAGGGCAGTGAGGCGAGGCAGTTGGCCAGGGCGTACCGATGAACTCCTTGCGCAGCTTGTCCCTCTTGCGCAGGTCCTCGACCCCCAGGATGAGGGCGTTGACGAAGCTGAGCAGAGTGACCATGTATGGCACGTTGTCTGTGCCCTGCAGCTCGCTCATGATCACGCTAAAGCGGTACTGTTGGGTCTTCACGCTCTGCCAGGACACGGACGCACACAGGTACAAACGTGCAAAAGAGGCTTACATGTACACACATTTTCTGATGAATCGTTTGTGTGCATTACTTCCAGTCTGTATTCCTACCCCTGGCTGAATTATGTGGTACAATAAGAGTGGGTTGCATGGTACAAACCAGCTAGCAGTGGGGGACTTAGGCTGCTGGAAGGGCAGGGGCTAAAAAATAAAAGGGGCACCTATTACATGACGTGTACTCCCCCTTCCCCAGTCACTAGTAGAATGGTACGTCCTGTATTGTTGAAGTAGTCATCACTGGAAGGGCACCCATCAGAGATACTCTCTATATTACAAGGGCACCTCATTATGCTTCCTCACTGGGAAAGGCACCCCAATGCACTTCATGAGTTTCGTCCATCAGAAAGGCACCCAAATGGCACCTCAAGTTTACTCGATTGTAAGGGCACCTTATATATGGCACTGCATCACATTTTCTCCACTGGAAGGCCATCCATTAGGACAGCTCCCCACATTCTCACATTACTCGATTGTAAGGGCACCCTATACAGCACTGCATCACATTTTCTCCACTGCAGGGGCACCTATTTGGACACTTCCTGTTTTCTTGCCGCTTAGGAGTACCCTTAATAGCACTGCAGTCCATTTCCTCTACTGGAAAGGGTACCCTTTGGGACGTTTGGTCACGCAGGGGTAGGATAGAGGGCACTTCAAAACGGCACCCATTTGCACTGGAAGGGTACCCATAGGGGCCGTTTAGACCACTGTAAGGGCACCTTATATGGCACTGCATCACATTTCCTCCACTAGGAGGGCACTCATTAATGTACTTTGTGACATTTTCTTGATCTGTAGGCCATATCACCATACTGTCTCACAGGAAGGGGGCACCTTAGACAGCAGTCAGTTTTTTTCCCATTAATGGGCAACTAATAACAGCATTTTCGCCTCTCTAGATAGCACTCTAGCAATATTTTTTCAACAATGAGGGCACCAAGGGGGCGGTTCTCCCCCTGCACCCCCCCCTCAGTCCACCACTGCCAACAAAGGCTTTTTTGTAATCAACTTGCACTAATGTGTTTACATTGAACTGTGACATGTAAGGTGTTGATATAGAGTCATCAACACACATATCCTTGGGGTTGCTTGAGAAAGCTGTAGTCTTCCAAGCTTTGGTTCTGATGTCAGTTAAATGTGGCTTTTGTGTTATCTATGAAAAACACTGCGCCAAGATTAATCATTTCTCTGGCTTGTTCCAAACCCTTCAAATCTCTGATCTAGTTTTTTATCCTAAAAAGGTAATATTTATCTTTTAGTAGTCCAGTGGTTCTCAGTCCTGTTCCTTGAGTATCCCCTGCCAGAATGATTTCATTCCGACCCACACTGCTTTCAACCTGCCACATCCATTACTAGCCTATTAAAGACCATTTGAGCCTGATTAAATGATCTGGGCCTGAAGAGATGAAAACATTCTGGCAGGGGGTCCTCCAGGAACAGGACTGAGATCCATTGGATTAATCATTAGTAATTAAAGCAGCCTGAGTGATACTTAAGTTTGCCTGTATATGACACTTCAATCAACACAGGGTAGAAACTTACCCTGTAGTGGTCCAAAGCATCCAGTGCCAGGTTGTACCCGTCCACTGAATACACACTGAGGGCGGCTAGCAGCTCAAACACCTGTTTCTTCACCATGGTGTTCGAGGTGTCCAAAGCTACAAGAGAAGATGGTCACATGTTGCCTCACACCCTCCCTCGTCGTGGGTCCCCATAAGGCCTAGGTCTTGCTTCCACTCTCTCCCCACTTTATATACCCTGGATTAAAATCTGCCTACTATTGATAACAGTCCAGAACTGTGTTACTCTGCAAATGAATAGCTTTGATGTGCACATGACTGCCCCAAGCAGCTCCCCTCCCAAATAAATAAATAATGTAAGCCTTGCATTTTGCTGCACACAACTGGATATGACTTGATCGAAATCATGAAAAGTATGCAGTGTTTGTCTGGATTAATGTGAGGCGTTTCATGAAAATTCAATGTTTGTATGATAGATTTCTACTTGGTCTCCTTTCCCCATTCTAGTTTTAATCTCTAGGGCAAGCTGAACAACAGACTAACAAAGGAGGGTAACAAAGGGCTCAGCTTGTCATTTCATCTCACACAAAGGTCTCCTCAGACGACACATCCAACAGGCTCTCTGCTGTGTCCTTCAGCCCATTTCAAGGCATCGGTTGCCATGGGCTACATATCTGTAGATACCCACTTCGAAGGCAAGTCCTACACCATTCATAGACGTATGTGTGGGAGATCTGACAGGCTATCCTGTCAAGCCAGAAGTGCTTTCCGAAGATGTAGCTACTTTTAATTATTGTGATAGGGAAAAAGGAGGGTTCTAAATGAAGTGTGTGGTGGTAATGGTGCATTGCTATTGGCTGAGTGGTTTAAGCCATTTTCTATTGGCTATACTTTTGGTTCCTATTGGGTTAAATCAGGCAGGGCATGCCACCACATTGTAAACCCATTTAAAAGGAGGATTCTGCTCAGGAAATCCCACCCACCTTGAGACAGCTTACGCACGTAACCCTCGTTGTCCACAATGAAGTTGATGCCGGCGGAAGAATTCATGACTGCGCGCACACAGCTGACGCAGGTGAGTTGCAGAAGGGCGTCAGCGATGCGCGAGCAGCCACGGCCCGACAACCGGTCCAGAGCCTCTAGCAGCAGGTCCAGGCCGCTGAGCTCCAAGAACTGCACCATCCAGGCCTGGTCGCTGCCTTCCAAACGCTTCTTCAGGCCTGAGTAGTTGACCACGGTCGGCACCTGCAGCAGGCGGATGCAGAGTTCCGCATCTGCATTCTCCAGGTTGGCCTCCGGCTGCTCCGGGTCCTGGGAGGAGCCCAGGTGGCCCCGCACGGCTGCCCATTTCTTCTGGGCCTTTGCCGATTGTCCCAGCATGCCTGCGAAGACCAGATCTGCAGGGAGAAGGAGCAGAGGTCACACACAGTGGCTGTGCTGCTGTAGGACTCACGGCTATGAGGCTGCAAGTTTGAATCAGGCCGCGTGTTTTCTAGATTAGGGGTTCCCAGTTTTTTGGTGACCACGGATTGGTTTATGTTGTGCAGAGATTTCACAGACCGTGTTAGAAGTATTGAACTAAATCAGAGGCTTTAATCACGAACTGAACTATACCCGAGTCGTACTGAGCTGTCTACTGGGTAAAGGCATTGCAGAGTTTGGAGAGTGACAGTAGTAAAAGGGAAGAGATGTTTATTTACTGTTCACATTGTGTTCATCATGATTTACTATGTGCTAATTTATGCTAGCATGTCTGTGAGAATCACCACATTATGTTAGCATCAAATGCTAGCGGAATTAGCATTCGCTTCTATAAATTTGCATGACGAACCCATTCCGTTCACTGCCCTATAGTACTTTTCTAAGTACATGGCTGGAAATTTTCAAGTGGCGATTTATCAGGAATGAATTATTGTGATGTGCGATGCTACTAATAATGAATAATATATGGAATACGCCCTTTTTCCCTTCAAATAATCCACACATATCAACGCAGAACACTGGTATCTGCCTGCATTTCAACCAATCACATAGTGGTGATGCAACCAGCTCGGTCCTTCTGTTAGGCAGGGCCATGTCAGCGTGGGTAGGGTTCAGTTCTTGGTGGCAAAGTGCTATTTGTTTGCTGCAACCATATTGCCTCGTAGCACCTTGCTTTGTGGTCACAATAGGTGGTGTGGGCTGGGTAGTTCCCTAATCACCAATACTTTCATTGGCGTGATTACAGGAGGTCACACATGCTGTGATTTCTGTTACAAATTAACATAACAAGGAGAAACACAGCAGAATAATATAACAAAGTCCCACAGCAGATAAATGCGGGGGTGCTTGCTGCAGGTTGATTGCCAGAAAGCTTAACCTTCTACATTATTTTTCAGATGTGCTCAGGGGTCATAAAAAAGACAGAACTTGAAAATACATAGTTTATTCTTGGAAACTGACCAACCCCTTTCCAAACCCCCCGGCGTTCCACGGCCCTGGGGGATATTGGCCACGGACTGGTGCTGGTCCTCAGACTGGGGGTTGGCAACCACTGCTCTAGATGACTGAACTACAGATATTTTTCCTGCTCAAAATCAGGCAGGAGGCCTGTACAGACACATTTTTAATACATAACAAAATGCCCCTGTAGAATTTCCAGTAGTATTAGGAGCACAGACCTGAGACCAATTCCTCACAGACTGAGGTAACGTTATAAAAATGAATCCTTTTCAGATGAGCCCCTAAAGCACAGGAACACCAAAAACAATATGGGAGAACATGTGGGAGACTCAACTCCTCTGTTCACGGACACAAGAACAGACACAGGACGTCTATCACAGATGGTCAGAGGCAGAAGATGTGTTCATTGGTAACATTACGGGCACTGGCAAGTAGGACGAGGGGATGGGCTTAGAGAGGGAAGGATGAGTCAGCTTGTAGGAGTATGAGCTGGTCAGGAGTCGTGCTGGAGCCAAACCTGCCACTCGAGCATCCTGGGGCGCCACCAGTTCATCTCAGTTGTCAGGTATTATCAAAGTTGGGGGAGGGGTGGATCGTTTTTCCCCAAAGGCACACAAAACAGACAGATACCCTTCAAGCTAACCCTAACTAACCAACATGAGCTTGACAAACATATTTTTGTAATGCATAAACTGTGCTGCTTAATTTCTTTAATCACCAGGCATCACATTCTCGTCCTGCAGTCCAATAAATAATCAGTTCATTAAAATGCTGTTTCCATGACTGCCTTTATTGTGACTGTGTGTGTGTGACCATGCCGTCTAGCGGCACCCCTGCCACGGGCACCGTGCTTCTAGAAGTACACTCAAGGCTCACCGTGACTTAAGAAGATATGGGAGAATGGGTGGATGTTTAAATAGGGAAAGGAGGTTGTTGATACTGATGGCATCTCTGCAAGCTGCAGACCTTGCCTTGCCGTTCACAGCAGGCTGTGCTGAGTGGGTGGTTTGAGGCTCTGCTGAATGGTGTCTGTGCACTGTGGGCTTGCTGGAGCACATAGGACAGAAGAGGGCTTTATCACAGCCGGGCAAGCGGGGGGGGGGTCTGACAGCCCTGCTCATTTTGATGTGGCAACCGCCCTCTCAGCACCAGTCTTGCCAAGTACCCAGTCCTGATAGAGACTGTGAAGCTGGGGGGGGGGGGTCTCACAGAATCAGCTATTCAGGCTGGGATGTAAACAAAAGTGGACTTTATGCAGCAATGGTCAGCAGCGTACAGCTGACAACGTGGAGGGAAAACGGACGCTGGTCCGTATCACACACTCACATGCGTGGGCAGGATGTTGAAAGAACAAATGCAAAAAAAAAAAGAAGAAAACTGGGAGGAGGTTAAGAGTACAGATATGAGAACAATGTTTAGTCATGGTTGAGTCCACAGCCATGGATGTTCAGGGGTGTGAAGCCAGGGTGTGTTCTGACAGAACAGCTCAATGTTTGAATTTAATGTTCTATTTACTTAAAACTCGACATGGACTGTAGACGAGATATGGAAACTTACAATTAATTCCCAGATTAAAAAAACCCTACAACCTACTGTAATGAGATACAGGCACATAGTCATTAAATTATGTATTAGTGAAACGGAGTGCTATGCATCAAACTGTATAGTTCATAGTCCTTATTCTCCACCATATTACAAACAAACCTCAATGGTTCCCAGTAAAGGAAGTGAGAGAAATGGAATTGCATCCTAATATGATAAAAAAAAAATAATAAGTAAAACTAGATCAGGAAGCTCACAGTGTGTGTGACACACCTGGTTCATATCACTACTGTTTCACTATGGTTGATAAATGACAGTAACACATCTTCGGTGAGCCATTCAAATGGAAGCGGGTCATTTTGCCCTTGATTTCAGCCACTTTTACAGCCCAACACATGCTGTAAGTATGATGGGGAGAGATGGGGAGAAATATCATGTGTACCACACTCACACCTTCCCAACCCAAAGATCACAGCACTCATAAGACACAGCCAAGATTGGCCCGCTAGTGTCCGCTACACAGATCTGTATAAGCAATCCAATTTATGCAAACACATTTGCAATCAAGAGTGGGTGAAGTGGTACAAAAATTAACACCACTGGGTCATTCTCACAAACTTGACAGTTACAATGATACAGTGTTTGTTTTTTGTGTATAACAATTGACATCACCTTAACACTTCAGGGATATTCAAATTATACTTTAATTTAATGATTTTGGCAACACTTAAAGCAGTGATATAAATGCATTATACATACCTTCATGATGCTTTATGATGCATTCATAAAGCATTATTAACATGGCTATAACTATTTATAAAAATGCACAATACATTATTTCCATGTTTATTATGCATTATGAATGCTCTATGAAGCTCTCATCTATAATGCATAATAATGGTCAGTATAAGAATTAAGGATGCTTTGTACTGCAGAATGAAGGTATTTATAGTGCATTACAGATGACAGCATCATATAGCATTCATAATGCATAATAAACATGGCTATTGTCACGCCCTGTCCTGTTATTTTGACTAGTCTTGTGTATATTAGTCCGCGTCCTCTTCTGTTTCCCAGATCCGTCATTGTAGTGTTACTATGTTTGTGGATGTCAGCCCTGTTTCCCTGCCTATTAAAATCCCCGTTTATTCGTCTGACCGGCTCATCTAGCCTGCTGGCCTGTTCGCCTGATCCCGTATCGTGACAGCTATAGTGTGTTGTGCCTTTTTATGAATAGTTATAGCCATGCTTACAATAACATATATGTGAAATGTTGCAGTATTGCAGGACTTTCTTATAACCTTAACAAAATGCCCATTTCCCAGGACACAATAAAATACAAATGATGTAATGATATAGCAAACTTTGCTCCAAATCAGTCACAGACCAGCAGTCACCCCTGCGCTTCAGCGGGAATTCTGTTTCTGTACCTACTGGGCATATTTCCTGTCTGGGATTAGGGAACATGAACTGATTTCAGGTTGTTTTTAGGTGACTCTGAGGCTGGCCTAATTCCATCTGGCCCATAGCGGTGCGGTAAGCACAATAAAGCAATCAGAGTTCCCCTCCTACACCATCTGATACAGCCCACAGAGCGAGGAGAAGTGAGTGAGCCAGTGCATCTGGCAGCATATGTGAAGCCCTTCCAGAGCTCGAGAGGGATGTAGGCTTTGAAGGGGAGGCATGTCAGATCCACACTGAAGGGAAACGAAGTAAAAGGAAAATAATCACAGGAAGGACTGTGACTGTTTGCTGCTGCTGTTATCTGCGGAAGATGAGGATGTTAGACGGAACAAGAAACTGTTTGTCAGTGTCAAGTTACCATGATAAGAATCACCGTCCATGTATTGTCCTGAAATTATTCATGAATAGAAGGTCCAACCATGGAAACAGTGCACTTCCTTTCATTTTGAACAAGAGCTCTCCACCACACCAAATTCAGTCCTTAAGGACGGTGAACATACATGCGGGGGCAGATGGGCACTAGAAGGATGTTGCTGGCCCCCGCCCACAACCAGGTCTCCTGAATGAGCCATGCTGGGTAGGCGTGTGGCTCTGCCGTCGGTGATGCTGTTCAACGTTCTGTCATAATATCTGCGGCTGGGAGGGATCCCCGTTGCCACTCGCTCACACTGAAGTCATATAGTTAAGACAGTACGACGTCCAATCAGCTACATTATATGGTAAAACAACATGTTGTCCAATATCTCATTCCAAAACCAGGGTTATTAATATGAAGTTGGCCAGCCCATTGTTACTATGGGAGCCTCAGCTCCGTTGGGAGAGCTTTCCATTAGATATTGAAACATTGCTGGTGGCATATGCTGTCATTCAGTTTGGGTGTTAATGTCGGACTACCTGGTCCCTTCGTGTGAGCTTGTGTTGCACCACTTTGCAACTGAACTTGCTCTCA